TAGCTGCTCCCACACCGATCAGTGAGTAGAGAGAGAGGCAGGGAGGGATATACTGTAACTTCCTATCCCTGCCTCTCTCCACACACAGTGACTCCTACTGGCTGGTGCTGGTATTGCAGAGTAATCTCTGTTTTATACTGAAAAAAATATCTGCATTTGTATTGCCGTTATTACTGCAACACTGGCACGGCCAGACAGCCTCAAATATCAGCTGTTCTGGTAAAATACCAGTCCGGTGGGAAACCCAAGAGTAGTGTGAAAAAAAAGGTAAAAAAAAAATGTTTTTGTTTTTTGTTTTTTTTAAATGGGCCTGGGCCTGGGCCTGGAGCTGCAGCTCCATCAGCCCCTGTGTTAATCCGGCCCTGGGGGGAGTCCTAGGTAGGAGAGCGACTAAGAGTAATAGGGAAGGGAACCCTACCTTTGTTAGAACTAGGGAATAATGGGACAAAAGAAAATAAGACTAAAATACTGCCACAAGGGGGATTGCTCCTGACGACCTCGTGCTGACATGCCGAAACGTGCGTCGAGCTATTTGGTTTTTTTTCACTATCCTTGGTAGCACATATATATTTTAATGCACAATTATTATTATTTTTTTTTTTATATATACATTTTTTTTGACTAAGACCAAGGCAGGGAGAGTGGTTTAGGTAAGCACTAGTGGTTAGTCCATGGTGCTCAGGTATTCTAGGGAAAGATTTATTGAGGTTAAGTTTGTTAGTGAGGCTCAAGACCCTCCTACTCTCATTTTTACCTCTTGCTATACCTCCTTTCTTTTTTCACTTGCTCAGGGTTCATTTTTTATTGAAGTGCAACCTTGTGGTTCCTGCATCTTGTTAGTCTTTTGACACTTATTGTGTTTCTATCATGGGACTCTGTTGCCATCGCCCCCCTGAGCATTAGTTAGTCTCTCCCCCTTGTGGCGGTATTTTATTTTTATTTTATTTTGTCCTATTATTCCGTATCACTATTAAAGGTAGGGTTCTCTTCCCTATTACTCTAGTCGCTCTCCTACTTAGGACTCCCTCCTATACCTCTTATACCTATACATGTTTGAGGGTTATTCCCTCTAACCAGGAGCTCGACTGTATGCATTACATAGGAAATATCCACCAGCCTGATCCAGTAAAATTGCTTCCCCATAGGATTGGCTGAGACTGACAAAGACGCAGATCAGGGGCAGAGCCAGCACAATTCAAACACAGCCCTGGCCAATCAGCATCTCCTCATAGAGATGAATTGAATCAATTCATCTCTATGAGGAAAGTTTAGTGTCTGCATGCAGGAAGGATCTCGAACAGCCATTTAAGGAGTGGCCAGTGAATTTATCACTAGGCTGCAATGTAAACACTGCATTTTTTCTGAAAAGACAGTGTTTACAGCAAAAAGCCGGAAGGTAACGATTCTAATCACCAGAACAAATTCAATAAGCTGTTCTGATGACTATAGTGTCCCTTTAAGGTTAGGGGTGCCTTTAAGATGCTTCAAGACTGGCCATAGCATCTTAGCACAGCTTGACCCACCAAAGTCAGAGAATCCCAGACCCTAAATCTTTCCCAAGTGCTACATGCTATTCTCTAGTTTTTCCATCAGAGCACTCTGTTGTCACTCAGCCATTGTTTATAGTTTAAAACCCTCTGTTTCTATGGCAATGTTTTAAAAGCATGCACCTTAAAACAATAACAAACTGTTGCCTAACAATTTGGTGTCTAGTTCTTAAATTATAAATAGATTCTGGACTCCCAGGTGCTTCTAGACAGCTAACTTCTTATTTGTGCAATGATGCATTCTGACCTTGTATAGTCTCCAGATAAATACTGGTCATAACCACATCTCTTCTTTCATTTTCAGGTGCAAGTTCTGGAATTATGATGAGAATCTGCTCACTTCCAGCGTTGTCATTGTATTCCATAATGAAGGTTGGTCTACACTCATGAGGACAGTTCACAGTGTTATTAAAAGGACACCTAGAAAATACCTTGCGGAGATTGTCATGATTGATGACTTCAGTAACAAAGGTAAGTGCCAGTGAGCAGAACCATTATTCAGTGATTGTCATTGTAGACAGTGTCCTTTTTTTCTCACAGCTAAAGAATTTGCATGCAAAAAAATGTGGTAAGAGTAGGTTACTGCAGTGCCTAAGGGGCCTTACTCACAAATTCCTACCAATGCTCTTGAATTATAGGTCACCACTGCATCTTCACAAGGAACTCATCAATGTTTTGTTTTTTTGTTTTTTTAAATAAACAGAACCGTGAAAGCTTCAAATGGTTAATGTGAGGCCAACTGGTGGTACCTACACTATATTAAAGGGCATAAGCAAAAATACCGTCCCTGTCTCCCTGCCTGTGTCCGTAAAATGCTTTGACATAAAGGAAGAGCTGTATTTTTTACACTATTCACAATAATTGTTGCAACAGTGAACCCTGCATTAACTTCTGAGTGTTCTGTTTTGGTTGATGCAAAAATACGTTGTTACTTTGTAAAGAAATTCATGTATGCGTGCAGGGCTTTAAACTGTACCAGTAAAGACAGGCATTAGATCGAAACAAACTAGAAACATTTTCTTAAGTGCACATCCCTCTATCATAGATTATCCACAGGAGTAAATTAACATTTAGCTTGCTATAGCTCCACCTAGTGTTCAAGCTACCTAACACACATTGTGTTTGCACACCATCAAGGCCATTATTATTATTATTATTTTTATTTTATTATTTATATAGCACCAACAAATTCCGTAGCACTGTACAATGGGTGGACTAACAGACACATAATTGAGAGCAGACCACTGACGTACAGGAACAGAGGGGGTTGAGGGCCCTGCTCAATGAGCTTATTGAAAACTATTTTCAGTCCTCCTTTACAAGTAATAGATTGTAGCATGGTATTCTTTAAAGTTCAGAATAAAAATAAACAAAAAAAAATTGTAGAGGGAACAATTAGGCAGATATGTCTCTATTTGTCTTAAATTATCTGTAATAAATGTAAAGTGTATGAGACTGTGAATGACAGGGTATCCACCAAGGAAATAATTTCAAGTGAAAATTCTCTTAGACTCTTAGTTACTGCAGAATATTTCGAGGAAGGAAATCTGCTTAGTCCAAAATCCTGTTCCAAATCACTGTTTTGTGAAGAAGACTGTTTGGATACAAATGAACTACCGTATATACTCGAGTATAAGTCGACCCGAATATAAGCCGAAGTACCTAATTTTTCCACAAAAAAATAGGAAAACTTATTGACTCGAGTATACGCCTACTGTGGGAAATGCAGCACCTACTGGTAAATTTCGAAATAAAATTAGATCACAATAAAATTACATTAATTGAATATGTATTTACGGTGTGTGTACATAATGAATGCAGTGTGTTTGTGTAGTGTGTGTGTATATAATGAATGCAGTGTGTGTATATGTGTAGTGTGTGTATATAATGAATGCAGTGTGTGTATATAATGAATGCAGTGTGTTTGTATGAATGCAGCTTGTGTATATAATGAATGCAGTGTGTGTGTATATAATGCAGAGTATGTTTGTATGAATGCAGTGTGTGTATATATAATGCAGTGTGTGTTTGTGTGAATGCAGTGTGTGTATATAATGAATGCAGTGTGTGTATATAATGCAGAGTATGTTTGTATGAATGCATTGTGTGTGTGTGTATATAATGCAGAGTGTGTGTATATATAATGCAAAGTGTGTTTGTATAATGCAGTGTGTGTTTGTTTGTATGAATGCAGAGTGTGTATGAATGAGGTCTGTAAAGTATATTAAAGCTGCACTGTCACCACCCCCCACATCCCCAAAATGACTGTTGAATAAAGCTAGAATCTTTATGAAATACTTAGATTGACAGTGTTGAAACTTCACTGAAATTCTAACCCATTCAAAATATATTCTGAGACAAAGTAGGGACTAACCTGACAAAGCTTGAAACGTGGCAGAGCTACCAACGTCAAGGTAATAATTTCCCCCAGCTGTCACCAGTGACGGCTGCAGGGAAATTAAGACCATTCTGTCTCAACAGTGTCTACATTACCACCTCGTATAAGTCTACCATACCAGGCTACAGTGAACCTAAGTGAACGAAACACATAAAAGTAATCTCCCTGAATACCTCATCTTCCCCTAATATGGGAAGTCCACTTACCTTCTAGATACTGAGAATAATATTACTAACGTAGAACAAAATTAATAACTAAAAACACATGGTGCACATAGGCGTGTGCCGGGTGTGCCTGGGCACACCCTAATCCCCGCGGCACGCCTATGTATTGAGACCGGCAGGATCTCCCCTGTCGGCTCATGCAGAGCCAGCTCTGCTCTCAGCCTCCCTTCCCACTGCAGCATGGAGGGAGGCAGGAGAGGACCCGGGGAGCTCAACCAGCAGCTCCGCTGGGTTCCTCTCGCGAGTTCTGAGCGTTGCCACAGCAACGCTCAGATCTTGCGAGAATGAACTCTAGCCCCACTCTCCACTGGACCACCAGGGAAAGCAGCAGGAACAAGAATAAGGTAAGAAGGGAGGGGGGATATTAAGTAATGTACCCCCACAATCACCCACACACATACAGCACACACACAGCATACATACAGCACACACACACATACACAGACATACAGCACCTTCACACATACAGCACACACACACATACAGCACCCACACACACACAGCACCCTCACACACATACAACACACACATACAGCACCCTCATACACATACAGCACCTTCACACATACAGCACCCTCACACATACGGCACCCTCTCACACACAGCACAGAAACAGCACCCTCACAAACACATACACAGCACCCTCACACACACCGCACACTAACAGGACCCTAACAAACACACCCTCACACAAACACCCTCACACACACACAGCACACAAATAGCACCCTCACACACACACACATCACACTAACAGCACTCTCACACACAGCACCCTTACACACACAATACACTCAAACCACCCTCATGCAGCACACACACACACACACACACACACACACAGCAGTGTATGTGTGTGTGTGTGTGTATGTTTATATATATGTATATGTGTGTGTGTATACATATATATATATATATATATACACACACATACATATACACGCGGTGTGTGTTTGTGCTTTAGGGTGCACACCCTAATGCAACAGGCTGCGCACGCCTATGATGGTGCATGCCCCCCCAAAAAGGAGAAATGACACCACACAACACCCCCCTCGGTCCGACGTGAATTTCGGGGTTTGTGGGCCTCTGTCAAGGACTTAAAGGTCTCCTTTTACTATTAGGAGTGGCGTTCAAAGGACAGACAACTGCCGTGTTCCAGCTTTGGTTGCTACCTTTCACACAATTACCTCAATCCTTAGAAATATATGATCAGATGTTTATTTGTTAAAGGTCAGACAATACTGGCTCGATTCACATTTCTAGTTTGTCAATGAGTCAGGAATTAACTTGAAACATTCTCTGACTATTCCCAAATAAGTAAATAGACTTACTGCAAAACGTTTTAAAAACAAACAAAAAAATTAGAAAATGAAACAGGGTTTTTCAGGAACCTCTCATTGTCCTAGGACCATCTGTATGCTATTCTAATTCCTCAAAATAGTGAAAGGGTTAATAATACAAGACTGGTGGGCAAGGCGTGCAGTTGCCAAACTGATGTTTTTCATATTCCACTCCTTAAGCTAGTGAATGTAGTATGGGTTCACGTGTGTTAGCTTGCTAAAGTGCTATTTGTGCATGAATTATCCCATTTTAATTGCACTCTATAAAAGTACAAATTGCCATGAGAAATTGGCACTTTTATAAATCCATTCTACAACACCTCCGTGGCTGTCAAACATCCAGAGAGGTTTTCTTCCTCCGTCCGTTTGCTCAGTGACAGGCAAGCTCTACTTGAGTGTGCCTGCCTTCTCCCTCACTGTATTCTGGTTCTCCCAGGCAACTGTGCAATTGCGCACGTCTGCAGGTGCGCTCTCCTCCACAGACCCAATCTAAGACCAGCGTGCAGTAATAGCCGGGAGCAGGAGCAGACACTTGCACATAGAGGACCCTGACTCAAAGGCTTCTCAGTGGGACTGAAAGTGTGTGTGTGTGTGTGTTTTACAGTACACGATAATGTAAAATAGTTAACAAAGACTGCAAGACCATGGACAATCTCACTGCTATCCTCCACAATACCACATCCATATTTTAGAAGTTGTGTGGCCCTTGGCTAGATTGTGGGAAGTAAGTATGCCTTAACTGTAGTCCATTTACACCAGGGAACTGTCCCCATCAAGCGTATCTCAAGCTCATCATTAGTAGTACTTGCACTATGCTCAGTGCAAAGAGCACTGAAATAGAGCTGGCTGAGCATTGCAGGATTTAGGTCAGAGGAGCTAGACAAGCTCCTAGCAGGAGCGACAAGAACTGGCCTAAGAAAAGTTTGCAGAGCAAGCTTCCTAGTACCAGAACAAATGCAATAAGCCGTAGTAGTTATGAATCTTGGTGTGTCTCTTTAAGAGGGTGAATATATATTGTATCCCATCTACATGTTGTGTAGACATCCCCATGTTTAAAATAAAAAACACAAACACCACCTCAAAATGTACCCCAGCATAATGCATGAAAAACAAGAATCTGAACACTCTAATTAGTGGGACGTGAGTATTTCGAAACTGAGAACCCTCCAGTCAGATATACTCTTGATGCTGTGTACCCTTTGAACTGAAATAATCCTCTCTAGTCTAGTTATCAAGGACCACATCTGTCTTCAAGGCAAATAATCACATGTCTATTTGTATCACATTGAAATCTTTTATTTTTTTTATCTTCCTTTATAACTTGTCTTTCTGTGCATTTTGTTTCTATCAATGAACAAAGAGGGGAAAAAATAAATATCACATTCTCTCAGAAAACAAAACACAGCCTGGGGCTGGTATTGTATCAGAAGCTCATCTGCTTCACTCTGTTATAGGGATTCTGTCATGGTTTAGAAAAAGATAATGTTTCCACTAAAAAAAAAAGCAAAACAAAAGTGTTTATTTTTCTTTGTCATGTGACACAAATTCTCTTCCACAACACAAGGTACCTGCAAATATCTTCCTTGTTTTCTTTGTTTCACTTCTGCATATTTACAAAATGACTGGCAGAAATTTTATTTACAGTATATGTGCAAAAATATTTTTTAGACCGCACTGTTTTTATCCTCAGGCACTGCTCATTGTTTTGTTGTCCTGAATTAGAAACAAATGTGAGCAAATGTTCTAAAAGTGGGTATCACTCGGTACTGGTTTCCATGGTGACTGGCCCACTTTCAGAACTTTGCCCCTAAATTGCTCCTTTTGGATAATTTCTGCAATATTTTGGAGTGACATGAGTGTAGACATATAAGGTTAATACGTTCTTCTACTGTGGTGTTTCTTAATAGGGTAATTATTCGGCCAAGACCTGCCTTGTTTATAAAGCTGCAGTGAAATCATCCTTTGCATATCACTTATGTAATGAATAGAGTTGTCTCTTTCTATTAAACCATCCTCAGAGGATTATGTAAATCAGCAAGCTTCTGTGAAAAGGCCATCAGATGTATTTTATTCATCCACTTGCAGCACAAATGCCATTGCTATGTTCATTTATGAGACAGAATCAAGTGTCTACTGTGCCAACCCAATGTTCATGTCATTGAAAACTGCCTGCTTTCCAGTCTGTAGAAAGGGATTTTAAGTCCCCATTCAGTTTCCAGGTGCTGTCACACTGTGATAAGTTTGGTCAAATACCAATTACATATGTCTGGTTTCACAGACCATTTGAAGGGAAGACTGGAAGAGTATATAAAGCAGTGGAATGGCCTTGTAAAGGTCTTTCGCAATGAACGCAGGGAAGGACTGATCCAGGCTAGAAGCATTGGAGCTCTAAAGGCCAAACTTGGTCAGGTAAGAAATGTACACCATTCTGCACTAAAAGGGAAGGACTTGTCAGCGAAGTCTGTCTGTTTTCACCATAACAGGGTCTTGTGTTTGATTACTAGATTGAAATAAAGCATAGGGGCACCCATGGGTGTACTAAATTAAGTCACAATTCACCCACAATCAGTTAAGAGTAAACATCTACTGGCTGGCTGCATTTTTAATAACTAATCAGGAATTGTATGTTTAAGGCTCAAGTATCTGAACTGAAAAAAAATAGAACTGCCTCTTTTCCCCAAACGGTCTAAAGTTGGAAATTCCGTAGTGAAAATCTTGGGTATCTGTCTGTCTACCTGTTTATGCTTCGTTTACTCACTTTTCTTCCACTCTCTCATTTTAAAAAGATACATAATTATATTCTATTTTATTTATAAATTGTCTTAACCAGTTGTAGTGACACTTTATTTTTCATAACTAAAATTCTTGTCCTAATGCTCTCTATGCTGTATGATTTCTACTTCTGTTTTTTCAAGTTACGACTCTTCTTTCCAAAGACTTGCCCAAAAGTTATCTTAAAGGGGCACTGTCATGCCGAATTTGCATTTCTCCTGTTGTTTCCTCTTCTCTTCCTTTCTCAGCATCTGTTCTTCTTTTCTTAATTTCTGATCTAGTTTTCTTTAAAAACAGAAGACAAAGGTTTTTTTCCTACACTTGACCTTCTCTGAACAAAGGATGAGCTTAAGTCCGCTCCATTTCCTGTGTCAAGGAGAAGAGGGAGTACTTTCTCTAGCACAGTAAAAGTAGCTGACTTAAGCTCATCCTTGAGTCAAAGTAATATAAGCGTAGCAAAAATACACAAGTCCCTACTTTTTTTTTTTTTTTAAAGAAAACTAGATCAGAAAAGAAGAATGGATTCTGAGAGATGAAGAGAAGAAACAACAATGGGAGAAAGGTAAGTTTGGGGTGACAGCGCTGTACATGTTTTAGCTTTTCTTTCTTCTTCCTTATGCCTCATATGTAACATACCTATTCGCTGACCTCTGCTTTTAATCTAGTTACACAGCACATGCAGCCAGTTATCAGCCTCTTAGTGCAAGAAGGAAATTCATGTGTTTTTAAATAACTTTTACATGTGCACAATAAAGAAGAACAACCACAGTATAGCTAGACTGAAACCTGACGGATTCCACGCAAAAAAAGATACAGCAACAATGATTGCATGAGAAATTGGTTTTGATTTACGATCGTTCACAAAGTACAGCAACTGTATAAACCAATAATAGTAACTGGAGCTTTCATAGTCATCAATATTGCATGGTTGCACATAAAGAAATAAAACAAACAATCCATCTTTAGCGTAAAAGGGATTTTATATTTTTACTTGAGGTTTACAGTTTATACCTGATTGCTGTTTTACAATGATGTGCTTCAACCATTCTATTAGTGATTGGGCTGTCCATCCACACAAACCCATAGTGCACAGTGCATTACCCATTGTTCTATCTTTTTGTTGTTTCTTGAAAAAACATAACTTGAACAATTTTCATGCTTTCTCCTAGGTTTTAATTTATCTAGATGCACACTGTGAGGTTGGAATAAACTGGTATCCAGCATTAATTGCTCCCATTGCCAAAGACAGGTAAAGTGTTAACCATAATTTAGATCCTGTACCAATGGACAGTATTGCATGTCTGTGCAAAATGATTTGGGATCTCAGGGGTTTGGCATACTGTATTCTGGAAAAGGAGTTCCCAACCTAGCCCTCGAGTACCCCCTAATAGTCCAGAGTTTAGGGATTACTCTGTGTCTAAAGTGTTTGTTTTTTCTTTCTAAAAAAAACCTTACACAAAACGATGTAATCCCTGAATCCTGGACTGTCGGGGGCTATTTGAGGGCTGGGTTGAGAACAACTGTTATAGAATATTGTCTGTTGATAGAACAACAAAATCAGGCCAGGGTTCACTAAATGCAATCAGAGTGGGGTAAGAAGATCTGGCATCTATATAGAGTTTTATATATATATATATATATATATATATATATATATATATAAAATATATCACCTGCATAAATTGCATAAATACAGATTGTCAGCATATCAGCTTAAATGCATTTCTTAATGCAGCCTGTCATTCTATTTTTAAATTATTGGTTAAACTGTGTTGTACAATAAACAAAAGAATCATGGAAAAGAGTTGTATGGGTCTGTGTTCTAAACCTTGAAGTAGTGAATA